ACTCACCTCGTTTTTCCTTCTTCTGTTTGCATGTATACCCCACCCATTGATTTACTCTTTGTAAGGGGTTAAAACCCCCTTCACTCCCCTCTCCCGCTCCCCCCTCCCCCCCGGAAAATAAAAACTCACCTCGTTTTTCCTTCTTCTGTCTGCATGTATGGACACATGTCTGCCGACTTTCCATCCTGATTCGCTGTATTTTGGCCACACGTCTCATTCAGATTGCCACGTTCCCTTCCTTTTCTTTAATTCCTTTTTTTGGGAAAAGAGTTCCCTTCCTTTTTTTTTTTTCTTTTTTTTTTTTAAGCTATATTCTTCTCTCATCTATCTCATTTTTCTTGCTAGTACTCATCTATCTCATCCTCTCACTAGTGTATGTGTAGTACTGGGGAACACCAACCAACCCGGTTCTCTCCCCAGCCCACGGGGTAGGTTTGCACCACAGCAGTGGTGCGAGAGCAAGGCTGTACCAGTCCCTCATCATGGTGACGAGGGGTGGGCAGGCATTGCCGATTTCGCCGATGGGGGAAATCGGCCGTGCTAACGCCGAGCAATAGCCAGTCACTGCACCTCCCCCTACCCCCCCCCCCAAACCCCACATGACGGTGTCTAATGGCCAATATTGTAGCTGCATAGCAACGTACAACATCAACCAAGGTCCTGCCAATGCTGGCTTGGGGGGCCAACGGGTTATCTCTAGCTGGTAAAACACCAAGCTTGTTCCCTTCCTTTTCGTATCGGTCTTCTTAAGGTTCTGTCTTGTATTTTTAACTAAATAAATCAATTTATTCAGCACGAGTCCTGTGATAGGCCCATGCATGCAATGGAACCTGCGATCTATGGCTTAACAGCAAAAAGCAAGATGCCGAAACCATTGCAACCATGACAGGTTGGTAAAATGAACCAGTTGTAAAAATGAACCTGGTCTTAAAAATGAACTCCAGTTGTTAAAACGAACCTGGTCCTTATATTAAGCCACATACCTCAACAGGGGTCTGGACATCAACTCTCTGCACGGTCGCAGTGTTATCATGCACTCACTCATGCAGCACCCTTCAGGAGTCTCTGGTTTAATGTCTTTTTCTTTTCTTTTTTTTGTAGGGAAAAAAAGCAAATATGCATTTTTATTTTTATTTTATTTTTTTATTTTTTTCTTAAAAAAAATAAAATTGAATTCCTTATCCTTCACATGCGTGGCGCCTCTTCTTCTTTCCTCGCGGTCTACCACTGGTCTTCTTCTCTCCTCTCTTCTCCTCTTCCTCCTCCCTTTTTTTGTTTCTCTCTTCCTCCTTCCTATTCTTTTTTCCCTTTTCGTTTTGTCATTTTATTCAGCTGAATTTGATATCAATTTATTCGTTAGGGGAAGATAACGCTTTTTTTTTTTTTTTTTTTAGAGATAGCACTGCAGTATCGACTCTCTCGTGAACCATTGTGGATCCACGTGTCTATCCATGGCACAACCTCCCACCGATATAGATGGCCAAAAAAAAAGGAAAAAAGAAGAAAAGGAAAGAAACGGAAAGACAAAAAAAGACAAAAAAAAGGAAAAAAAACAAAAACAAAAAAAAGAAAAGACAAAAAAGAAGAAGAAGAAGAAAAAAGTCAAAAAAAAGAATTGGGTTGCATCTGAATCTGATATGATAGCGAGTTGTCCTTCCTCTTATCATCATGACATGCTGTCATGTGAGAATGGCAGTCAACGAACTACTCACGGAATGTGCAAAATGAAGAACGTATCTTTGGCTAGAACGTGGAAAGATACACCCGACAATTCTTTTGTCGTTCTCACATGTGTTTCAGTGGTGCGGTGAGGGCCGATGGATAAAGGTGTTAGAATAAGATATTCATGAATCAAAATACGTTAAAAAAAACATCATTCATAAAAATATTCATCTTATGTCTGACATCATCAGTTAACGACCCAAAAAAAAAAAAAAAAAAAATCTGATCCTGAAATGATAGTCAGCCGAGAACGTTCAATTGAAAGGAAAAAAAAGAAAATAATATGCACTTGCTATGAATCTAGGCTACCAGCCGGGCCGCCAGGGTCACCCTATTTTCCCGGACGGCCCGGCCGTGCAAGGACCACGCATGGTCGTAGCAAAAAAAAAAAAAAAAAAAAAAAAAATCCGGAAAAAACTATGTTATGCAGAAAAATAAACTGAACAACTTTTGCCTCAGGGTCACATCGAAATTCTGCACCAAATTTAGAAAAAAAATAAAATTTTAAAAATATATATATATATTTTTTAATTTTTTTAATTGTTTTTGACCCGGCCGGGCAAGTGACCCCGGGCCACTCTGGTAGCCTAGATATGTATAATATATATTTCATTTTGCGGGCCTACTGTGGATATGGTAGAATTTGTTTTGGTAACCTTGTCTGCTGCATCCCGGTTGGTTTGGTCCCGTTGTTGTTCGGTCTATATTTCGGCGAGCGTAGCGTAGTGGTGCTTTCATGTGGGAACAGTCACCGGGTTCTCTTTTATTGTCTTGGCATCCTAGTTGGTTGCTTCCCGTTGTTCGGCCTGTGTGAGGGGGCGGTGCTTTTATGTGGGAATCGTCATCTGGGATTGTCTTTTATGTTTTTTGTCCCAGTAAGAACGGTTTACAAGTGGGAATACCCACGTCTTGATGCCCAACAAGGCCATCTGTTGTCTATAGATAAGTAATCTGGGATTTCTCTTTTTTTGCAGACGAGTTTTGTCCTGGGTGGTCTTGTCCCGTCGTTTGGCCTGTGTAGGAGGGCTGGGGCGGTGCTTGCATGTGGGACTTGTCATCTAGGATCCGTTTTTTTTGGTATTGTTGCTTGTTGCCCTCTGTTTCGTTGTATTTAGCNTTTTTTTTTTTTTTTTTTTTTTTTTTTGGCCCGGCCGGGCAAGTGCCCCCGGGCCACTCTGGTAGCCTAGCTATGTTATTTCCGTTTATGGATGTACCTTTTTTTTCTGCGAAGAAATTGTGAGATTAAGTAAGGGAAAATAAAAACGAAAATGAAAAACGATAAGTCGCCCTAGAATTGATTTTTGTTACTCAGTACCTGCCTCGTCCTAGACCACCTTTGAATAGGTTTGCCTTTCACCAATGGGCATAGCTCAGTTGACCTATTTGAAAAAAATGAATTTTCTTTGAGGCATCCACGGACTGTTGAAATGCAGACCCGAGTTCGATTTCAGATACAGATGACCAGAACGAAAGCTTTTTTTTTTTTTTTTTTTTAAACGAGAAAGGAACATTTTTATTACCAAAACAATGAGGCCTGGAGCCCCTCAACAAACAAAATAATTCTGAATTACCTGGGGCCGGTTAGTTCAATGATGAGATCTCAAGGCCGTTGCCCTTTCAAAAAAAAAAAGTCGAGGTAAAAGGAAAAAGAAAGAAAAAAAAAGAGCAAGTGGAAGAGGAACCGGAGTGACGCTCCCCAGAATGGATATTTTTAGCCAGGACCATAAGGACCTGTCAAAAAAAAGAAAGGAAAAAAAAAGAAAGAAAAATAATAGGTTTGCCTTTCTCTATTGCTGTTCGTAGATTAGTGTACTAGTTTTCCTTTCTACAGACAGGGGTGGGGCTCCACCTGGGGTGTAAGGTTGGAGGGCTTGCGACCCCTGCCCACATCAAATGTTCCATCGTAAAAAAAAAACAAAAAAAAACAGTCTGGAATCGTTCCACCAGGTAGCATCTTGATGTTGGTGCCTTTTTTACTAGCTGGACGCTACTGAAAAAAAAAAAAAGAAAAGGAAAAAAAATGCCGTTTTGTTACGTCTTGCTGCACTTTATCTGAACAGGTGTGTCAATCCCCTCTTTCCCCCCTCCCCCACCATCCCCCCTCCCCTAAAAATGTTTATGTTGATTTCCTTGACTTAACTCTTCTGTTGATTTCCTTTTGGCCTTGAACTTGCTTACTCTGCTGCTCGACTTTGCGATCAACAAACTCGAACTGCTGGGTGTTGGAACTCATCTCGACTTGTTTGAACCTGGACTGAGCGGAGACTGTCCGGAATTGGGGTTGGTTTGAACCTGGAATGAGCTGAGACTGTCTGGAATTGGGGTTGGTTAGAACCTGGAATGAGCGGTGACTGTATGGAACTAGTGGGTTACCGTGAACTGACTGGACCGGCTGGAGCTGTTGTGGATGGGGGCTGAATTGGGACTAAATCGGGACTGAATTGGGACTGGATTAGGACTGGATTGGCACTCAGTCGGGACGTTTACTTGGGACGGAATTGTGAACTAACTGGGATTGAACTGGGGCTGTGCTGTGGCTGAAAAGTGGGACTCAATTGAAAGTGGGACTCAATTGGGAATGAATGTGGACTGAATTGGGACCGAATCGGGACTGAACTGGGATTGAATAGAGACTGAAATGGGGCTGAAACTGGGATTGAATTGGGACTGGGTTTTGATTAGGGTGGGACTGAACTGGGATTGGACGGGGGTTGGTTGCAATTCGAGACCTGATTGGTTTGAACTCGTCGCTCTGGTGGTCCGGAACAGAGGGAGGATGGATCTGATGGGGATTGAACTGGTTGCTGTACTGGGGGTGGAAGGGGAGGCATCGGTGACTCGATCTGTTGTCAATCTTCTATTATATTATTATTAACTAGTATTATTATTGTTATTATATTATGATGATGATTATTATTATTATTATTATTATTATTATTATTATTATTGTTTGTTATTATTATTATTGTGTGTTCTGGGGTGTTTGGTTTGTACTGGGATGGGGTTCACAGCTATGGAAAAGCGCCACCAGTTGGCGACAGAGGTTCGGGACAGCATAGAGATAGTGCACACATCGGAATACCCCAACTTTCTGAAGAGCTTCTTCAATGTATTTTATGCTCTGCTGAGACATCAGACTCAGCCTCTGTATACAGAAACGCACGAGCACAAGCTGCGAAATGTCGTGCTCGAAATTCTTCATCGCCTCCCCCACAGCGAGGTTCTGCGACCTTACGTTGGAGATCTTCTCAAGCTCTCGATGCATGTCCTCGCACATGACAACGAAGAAAATGGGCTCATCTGTCTGCGCATCATCATGGACCTCCACAAGAACTTTAGGAGTCAATTGGAATCAGAAGTGCAGCCGTTTCTTGATTTCGTTGTCAAGGTAAATGCCCCTGCATCCATCGATCAATTCATGAATGGATGGATCAATGGATATAGATAGAAAAGCTCTTTGTATTGAGCCTCGTGATGAGTCTGCAAACTTCCTCGAAATTCTGTCGCAGCCCCCCTCTTCTTGTCCTTTTTTCCCTTTCCAGCTACGGGTGACCAGACAGCTCTCTATGACGATACATGTGACGCTATTTACGATGAAAGTCGGTGAAACTCCGACGAAACAGTTTGTCACAGCCCCTCGTTTGTTGTCCTCTTCTCTCTCTCTGCCTACGGTTTTACCGGGCAGTTCTGTTTGTGACAATATATATATATACAGTTGAATCTTTTCCATAATTTGCATTGTGTTCTATTTATCAAGTGACAGCATGTATGTATGAATGTATGTATGTCTACATGCATGGTTGTATGTCTGTCTGTCTGTCTGTATGTATGTATACATACACATGTATAAAGGGATGGATGGATGGATAGGTGGGTGGGGAAGGAGCAGCATGGAAAAGTGAGCGAGAAAAAAAAGTTGATGTAATGTTTGTGGAAGATGCGAAATTATTAACCTTCCTGCCTGGCAAAATGCATATGTATAGTAATGATGACTGGACGGGGGGGGGGG